AAAACCATCTGAAAGAGAGGCTTCTTTGGGGCTGTGCGGTAGCCCGAGGGCAAGCAATTCACAGCATGTAGATCCAGCTCCCTTTGGTCCTCCAGCAGCATCTTTCCTACACCCATCTTGGTGGCCCTGAACACCTACTTAATTAACATCCTGTCTCTAGGACCTCTGAGTAAAATAAACATTGTTCTCCTGAGCCTCTTCTCTCTCTTCCTGTAGCCATCCCTGACTGATCATTATGCAACAGAGTGCAAAAAAATTTTTTTTTGCAGTATGATGCCATCTATAAAAAGTGAAAGTCCAGGGCTGGGATAGACCACCTGCCTACCATGCATGAGGCACTGGGTTTGACCCTCAGCACCACATAAAATAAAGATATTGTGTCCACCTATAACTAAAAATTAAATAATTTTTTTTAAAGTGAAAGTCCATAAACCCTCCAAACATACATACTTTCAAAATCAAACTTATACCAACATTAAATTTAAAAAATAAAGGATAATATATAAAACATTTAGAAATGTTAACCCCTAGAGGAAATAAGAAATATATTATACACATTTTAGGTATTCATAGTAATGGCTATTGTATTAATTAAGCTGTTTTGAATATGTATATGGGCTTTTTCATTTACATTGCATCATATATTGTGTAGGAAATATTTAACAGTGGAATTTGGAGGGAAATTTCAATTTTATATTATGGCAAACAATTTATTTTTTTAATGCATTTTTTGAGAGAGAGATAGAGAGAGAGAGAGAGAGAATTTCAATATTTATTTTTCAGTTTTCATCGGACACAACATCTTTGTTGGTATGTGGTGCTGAGGATCGAACCCGGGCCGCAGGCATGCCAGGCAAGCGCGCTACCGCTTGAGCCACATCCCCAGCCCCATGGCAAACAATTTTAAAACAGCAAACAGATTCCATAACAAACCAAGTGTGTAACAATCCTCAGTGATGTCAGGGCTACAGTATACCCCGCTGCCCTGTCAGGCCTGTGCTAAACGGAGGGTGGAGGAGCAGGGGGCACAGTGGCCTCCCCTGAGGCAGCCAGTGTGTCCTCTGGGGTCCTGCTCAGGGTCAGCTTGGATCGAGGGCTGTGATCATTTCCATCAGATGCTTGGAAACTTTTGGTGGCTTTCTAGGTTCTCAAGTTTACTTTCTGAGGCAGTCCAACCAGGGAAAACACAGCCTCAGGGATGACGTAGCACTCCTAATTAATAAACCTAACAGTTACACCCAGAGACTCACTGTGCCTCTGGGAGAGGATCTGTTGCTCCTCTGGGTGCATCCAAATGATTCCTAGTAAACAAGGTCATTGAGGTAACAGGTGACAGGGTGATCAACCACCCCTGGGAGGAGAGTTCCTGTCATTCTGTCTCTGAAATACAGTCTCTACTGGCCACATGCAGCCTTTCCAAGATGCCTGATTGTGTTGGGGAGGCTGACTGCCTGGAGCAGGGACCCTGCAGCCCTCGGCCTCAGGAGAGAGTAAGGTAGGAAGTCCTTGTCTGTATTCCCATTACCACATCTAAGCTTCTACACAGAGATTTCAGTTATTTTTAGATTTTTACTTTTAATACTTCCGTTATAATGTACATGCATGATCTTTTCTCTTAGTTTCTAACTCTTTTTTGCAGGAGGATACGGGAGACTGAACTCAGGGGCACTCGACCACTGAGTTCACATCCCCAGTCCTATTTTGAATTTTATTTAGAGACAGGGTCTCACTGAGTTGCTTAGTGCCACGACTTTTGCAGAGGCTGGCTTTAAACTCACAATCCTCTTGCCTCAGCCTCCCTAGCTGCTGGGATTACAGTGTGCACCACCAAACCTGGCTACTTTCTCTCTCTTTTCTTAAATATTTATTTTGGACTTAGTTTGTGGCTCAGGTTTGTGTCTCAGCACCACATAAAAATAAATGAATAACATGAAGGTATTGTGTCCAACTACAACTGAAAACTAAATATTTTTTAAAACAATATTTTTAAAATATTTATTTTTCAGTTGTAGTTGGACACAATACCTTCATTTCACTTATTTATTTTTTTATGTGGTGCTGAGGATCAAACCCAGGGTCTCACATGTGCGAGGCGAGCCCTATACTGCTGAGCCACAAACCCAGCCCAGTTTCTAACGCTTAATTCTCTTTTAATATATGCCTCTGCTATCTCCATTCTTTCATTCCTGTATGTGTTAGTATCTGTTATAACTCTGCATATCTGTCATTGTTTAAATTAATTTAGTTTTGTTGAAAGTCTCTGACACACATTCTTGATGTGCAGATCTTGAATTTTCTTTTAACATATATGTGAAATTTCCATTCAGTTCCATGACAATCTTAGGTCTCCTGTATTGTGTGATCTTTCTCACACTCTCATCTTCATATTCAATTGCTCAATTGATATTTGCTTATATTTCAAATGATTTACATCCAACTTCATTTACTCCTCCTTTTTCTACTCTGCTATTAAGTTTTAGTTTTCAGAGCATATATATGTATATATGAAACATGTAATATAATAAACAATACATATATTACCTTTTAAAAATTAAAGGACATTCATTTCATTAAATGCTATAGTCACTTAGATTAATTTATCATATCATTTCCAATTGGGTGCATAACAACTTTTTATCATATATTCATTCTGAGATTTGTCTTATTCTATGCTATCTAAATGGTATCCTTCTTTTTTTTTAACTTTTTTTTTGAAAGAGAGAATGAGAGAGGAGAGAGAGAGAGAGAGAATTTTTAATATTATTTTTTAGTTCTCGGCGGACACAACATCTTTGTTGGTATGTGGTGCTGAGGATCGAACCCGGGCCGCACGCATGCCAGGCGAGCGCGCTACTGCTTGAGCCACATCCCCAGCCCTAAATGGTATCCTTCTGAAATGGTGTTCTGATAATACTTTTGTGACACAATACAGCAATCAAAATGATTTTTATACTGACTTTCTTCCCCATAATCTTGAAAAAATCCCTCTCATAAATCAAATAATTTAGTCATTGATCCTGTAGTTATTCTCCATAAGATTTAATATTTATGAAGAAAGATAGTATTACATTCTTTGCAGTTGTTATAAAGTGTACCTTCTCTGTTGACAATAATGGCCCTCTGCAGTCATGAGGAGCAAAAGCAATGAGCACAGATCTTCACTCATATGTGATCTGGAAGGCAAGCTTTCCATGTTAAACCACACGTATGATATCATGGACTTGGTTCATATTTTTACCATAGAAAATAATTTTTTTCTATAGCTATAGCATAAAAATTTTAATTTTTATATATGTTGCATTTTATCACTGGTTTTATATACCTATTGAGGTTGATGATGTATTTATGTCTTTGAATCTACTATTGTGAGTGATCACAGTAGTCAAGTTTGAAACTGAAACCATTATCACATATTAAAGACAAGGTGCATTTTCAAAAACAACAGTACGGTCACCATAGTCAATCATGGCAAGTATCACAATTTCTTTTTTTTAATATTTTTTAAATTGTAGGTGGACACAATATCTTTATTTTATTTAAGTGGTGCTGAGGATTGATCCCAGGGCCTCACACATGCAAGACCAGCGCTCTACCGCTAACCTCCAGCCCCAGCCCAAGTATCACAATTTCAACTAAGTCAAACTCATAAAACATAAACTACATAATTGGTGGAAGGCCCAAATGAGCCTGTGGAGTAACAGGACTCCAACACTGTGGGGGCTCAGTAAATAATTTGAGTGCTGCTCCCTTAGCAGGATAATGAGTGTGGGATCATTGCAGTACAGATCATGCCCAAGCAGGAATGGTGGTGGAAGTGCAGCCTGAGGTGATCTGAGAATGTTCTCATGGACTTGCTCAGTGTGGAGACACATGTGGAACTGACCACAGGTCCAGGTGGAAATGAAAGACAGTGGTTCAGATGAAGGAACAACTGACTCGGTGGGAGAAAGTATCCATAAGCAAATGAAATAGCGAAATAGACTCCAGATTCCAAGAAATATGGTTGAGATATTGACTTCTTCAATTTCATATTAACCTGAAAAAATGCCCAGTCATTTCTGCTGCAATAACATTGTTGAATCTACTCATTCTGTTTAAGCACTCAGAAACAATCAGACCAAAGGGTAGATGTTACAAATGTCATAATCCTCAGGACACAGGGACCTTTGTTTGGATTATCAACCACAGTATGAGTGCTAGTTCTGCGGGACATTCCATGTTATGGGGTTTGTCCAGAGCCCTGTGGGATATTGAGCCTCAATTTAGGCCTCAATTTTGGCCTCAATTTTCTGCATGTCAGTAGCTCTGCACAAGTTGTGCACAAGCTGTGGTCAGGTGTCTCAGATCACTGCTGTTTGACCCATGTGTTGGGAGAGAGGTGAAAAGTTTCCACGTGGAACATGCTGTATTGCATGATTGTTTAGCAGTCAGTGACTTGGAGGAAGGGTGTGTGCCATGAAAACTCCAAGGCAGAAGTTCAAGTACACAGTGTAGTCTGTCTGTTAGAAGGATCATATTCTTCAGAGAGGCGAGACTACGGAAACACAGGCTGAAGATGAAACACAGTCTAGGCTCATGCCAGATAACCTGCACACATGCCTTTCACACAGGCTGCATGGCCCCGCTCACTATCCTAGAATGCAATGATGTGGCTTGAGTTCCCCTTCTCTCTCTGCCTACTTCTATGATCTGTTGCTCCCAGGAATCCCTGGAATCCAGGCTCTGGAACTGTCTAACTACACCCTCACATGCAAGAAAACTGTACATTTCACCACCTTTTTTCCTCCTGCAATGTTGGTGTTCTTGCAGAAGTTATGTCTTAAAAATAATTTTAAGTAATCATTGTTTTTTCATTGTAGGCCTAGTTTACCTCATTACAACTTTTAAGCCATCATTAAGGTAATATTTCTGTGCTGGGCATGGGATAGCTCAATGGTACTTCGCCTGTCCAGCATGCTTGAAGACCTGGATTCCATCACCAGCAAAATAATCATAAAATAATGTTTCCAAGGGACACAGTCTTTGGGGTTTTCCTCATCTTTCAACTGTGCATTGGAGTCCCTGGTAACTCATTCCTCTTCCTGCTGTATATGCACACCTTCTTATTTCAGCATCATGTGAAGAAGATTATGGATCCCATTTTCTCCCTTCTCATGTTGGCCAACACTTTGACAATCACATTCACATTGATACCACATATCATGTCATCCTTTGGAGTAAGATGGTTTGGGGACAATGTTGGTTGCAAAGTAGTCTTGTATACATACAGAGTGACGCGGGGTGTTTCCCTCTGCACCACCTCTCTCCTGAGTGCCTTTCAAGCCATCACTGTCAGTCCCAGTAACTCAAAGTGGGCGTGGCTTAAATGTAAGCTCTCTACATGGACTTGTCCCTCGTTCCTTTTCTTCTGGATCTTCAACATGCTCATCTACATACGCATCATTGAAACTGTCACTGCCAGGAGCAATTTCACTCTGGTTGGTCATGGCTATGTTGATGCCTACTGTCAAACCAGGCAGTTTGGGAATCAGAACTCAGGGACATATATACTGAGTCTGTTGGTGATTCGAGATCTGGTGTCCGTGCTCCTCATGATAAGCACCAGCCTGTACATGGTGAATCTCCTCTACAGACACCACAGGAGAGCCCAGCACCTCCACAGTCCCCACGTCTCCTCCCAGACATCTCCTGAACACAAAGCCACTCGCACCATCCTCTTGCTTGTAGGTTGGTTTGTGTTCTTTTATTTCTCAAACAACTGTCTGACTCTTTATTTATTTTATGCACATGAGAAAATTCCAAGCCTGGAGGGGATTAGCGCAGTTTTATCATCATGCTACCCGACCATCTGCCCGTTTTTGCTGATGAAAAATAATAAAATTGTTTCTCAACTTATTTCATCCTTTTCCTTGACAAGAATAACAGGTTCCCATGGAATATTTAATGGCTTGACTTCCCAAGCTTTAACAGAAGAGAATCCTTAATGATGTGTATGGGAAAAGGAGATCCATGTAGTACTTGAGCACTTCAGATGCCACTAGTTTGGGTTCATTTATTCTATAAATCTAAAATGCACTCAAAATAGAAGGCTTAGTTTGAATAAATGTATATATGTATCACTGGAATAGCTTTCACATTGATTACATGTCTGAATTAAGACATTTTGAGTAAAATGAGTATATTTTCTGTATGCTATTAAAACTCTTCTGTTTGCTTTTCCTCTCTTGAAATGCATTAACAAGAAAATGTAAAATTGATTTGGAGTTTGCATCATGCTTCTACTACAGTGTGCTGGCCTAAGAAACTGCCTGTGTATCCCACCAATGCCCATTGCCCTCCTTACATCTTCCAAGCAAGATATTAGGGCTTGGATGTACTCCAGTGTCCTGAGAGCATAAGACATGATAACCAAGGGACTTAATAGATTCTTCATGGTGCAGGGATCATATCTGTGATGTGAGGAGAGCTCTACAAATAGAGCTGGGGAGGAGAACTGGGAGGCCTAGAGATTCACTCTGAGCATGCAGTGAGCTGCCCTGGGTCGTCTCTGATGTCTGCAAAAACCTCTCCACAGTGATGCCCACTCGAATTGGGATGGAGGGCTTCCTATCTGGATGCAGTCTCTCATGTCTGAGCTGACTTGTGTCTTCTCTCAGTCATTCTCCATGAGAGGCAGCGAGCCCCTTTCCATTGCTGTCACCATGGACTTTTTGGAATCTTTGCCCCACACCCACTTTCTTTACTCCCACCTCCCCTACTTGAAGTCCTTGCTCTGTAGAAGCCAGTGCTTCACTTTTGAGAGCCACAACCAAAGGGGCCCCAGCAAACTTCCAGCTGCCAGCTGATGATTGCCTCACAGCGCCCCAGCAACTTCTAGCTGATTGGCTCCTCTGCGGTAATGCTCATTGGGCTGTTTCCCTGCCCTTTCAGACCACGGAGCTGCTCATTGGGGGACTTTTTTTGGCTCCGCCCACGCGACCCAGCCAATCGGCCTCAAGAGCAGGAGGAGTGGGGGAGGTGGAGAGGCTTGTGGGAAGCCGGTGGTTTCAGTTGGGCTCTGAAGGTTTTTCCTGAGGAGCTGTTTTGTTTGGCGTGTGTGGTTCTAAAAATAAAGTTCGTTTCTTTTGACAAGTGGCTCCTAAATTGTGCCCAGCCAGACTGCGGCACTTCACTCAGATCCTCAGAATGTCACACAGGGATTTGTAGATTGAATCCTTTCCTACTTTGTCCACCACCATGGCTCATAGTTCCTTTCCTGCGTGAGGGGGCTGAGGAGGCCCTCAGCCTCACCATTTCTACTGACCAAGGTGAGAAAGTGACATGGATCCCTGCTGCCAACCGCACAGCCTGCCTACTGGTGCTGGCTGGGAGGAGTGCAGCTATGGAGCCACAGAGTGGCAGCCCTGGTGGGTTGGAGCACTGGTGGCTTGTGGCAGTGTGGAACTTGTAATGCCGGTGTGGGGGGCCAGCACCGAGTCAGGGCAAACTGACCCCTCATCCCCGGGAAGGTGGCCTGCACACAGTGGGCATGCCCGTTGCAGAAGCTCCTGCCGGAAGCTATCTGTGAAATTCGTGGGGAACTTTTTCAGCATCACAGCCAGTGAAGGGGTAGATCTGGTACTGGGAACCTCCAGTCCCACCCAGATAGAAGGCCCAAACATAAGTGAACTCCCCCTCAGCTCTGCAGAGGTCTTCTGCAGCACCGGAAATGGAAGTGACCCCCTAGGAACCGAGCAGCCTACCTGCCCTGACATTTATCCTGTTTTGGTAAAGAACTTTCTACAGGAAGCCTTTGATGGATTCCAATATAAATAAAGCAAGCGCGGGCCCTTTTCTCTGTTAGAAGCTGGACCCCTCTGGTCAGCTTCACCCATTGCTGCCCTCACTTTGAAACTACTTTCTGTGTTCTCTGGTTATTCCATGGTATTGCTTTTCTCAGCTTTTATTTCTCAGCCAGCCCATCCCACTGAAGGGTAACCTGTGGTGCAGATGTGGGCGATAAGTGCCCTCAGATAGCACAGCAGCGCCATCTGATGACATCAACCTCCTGCTTCCTTACCTGCCAAGAGAAAATGGAAGTGGGGCAGACCTAACAAAAGATGGGACTCCAGAACTGATCAGGAGCAAGAGCGTTAGTGCATTTCCAAGCCCTCATTATCATAAATTGGGACCAAGTGCTATTTAAACGCCTAGATCAGCACGCTGGGCCTGTAAACCTGCTGTTGGTTCTCTCTTGTGCTGCAAGAGTTCTGCTCTTCAATAAACTCTACTCTACACACACTCATCCTGGTCTGTGGGTTTCATTCTCTGATTAATGAGACAAGAACCCAGAAAGAAGAAGAAGTTGAAGATGAGCTGCTGGGTCTGCTGCCACACTTCCTGGCTCAGAGGCCTGCTGCTTGCGCAGACCCACCTGCCCACACAAGCAGTGGATTGAGTTTCATCTTAAAACTCTAGTTCTATAGGGCCTCAGAAGAGGGTCCCTAATCTACCCAGCCTCGCATTTTACATATAAACACATGTATGTGAAGGTACTTGTGTGTGTGCATATACCTTACCTCTGTATAGAACTTTATCTGACTTAAGTGATATGTTACAAAGCTGTGGATAACTCTTGTCACCACTATTTTTTGTGAGGGTTCCTGGGTTGCTTTTTCTTTCCCTGCCATTCTATCTTGTGTCTGCAGTAGGTGACCAGGAAGCTGATTTCCACTGAGTGCCTCTTCCCCTCTTCCATGAACCCCTGGAAACTCGGTTCCTGTTTTGTGATACCTGATTTTGTTCATCTTGATAATATTCAAGGGTGACAGAATCCAAACTTAGAGGCAGATTTCACAACATGGTGTGCTTTCAAAACAAATGGAAGACTCACTGCAAAATGCAGTATTTTCTTTATTAATGGAAGCCCATCTTAATAACTGACAGTAAAGACAAAAGGGCTAAGGACGCTCCACGTATTTCCAAGGCATACACAGGCAGAGTTGTAACTCAGGAAGTTGGTTCAGCTTTTGTTGTTGTTGTAAAATGTGTTTCTTGGACCACTTTTAGGTTCAGGCCTTCACTTTTACCCTGTTCATAAGGGTTTACAGCCTCCCCTCTCTCAATCTACCGATCAGAATTCAACACTTCTTAAAATGACGGAACATATGTTAACATATTATTGTTATCCAAAACCATAGTTCCCTCTTGGTTTTGTTCATTCTAGGACTGTGTGTGTGTGCGTGCGCGCGCGCGCGCGCGTGTGTGTGTGTGTGTGTGTGTGTGTGTGTGTGAGAGAGAGAGAGAGAGAGAGAGAGAGAAAGACTGGGGACTGAACCCAGGACCATTCCTTCTCTAAGCTATACCAGCGACCATTTTACAAAATTTTATTTTTTTCAATTAATTAATTAATTTATTTAAAGATACTTTATTTACTTTTTTTTAGAGAGAGAGAATTTTAATATTTTTTTTTTTAGTTTTTGTCGGACACAACATCTTTGTTTTTATGTGGTGCTGAGGATCGAACCCAGGCCGCATGCATGCTAGGCGAGCGCTCTACCACTTGAGCCACATCCCCAGCCCTCAAGATACTTTATTTTCAAAACAGATCACAACATTAACCTTTTGACCTATCCTGACATTGTACAAGCTACCAATGCCAGCTGGGCAGCTGGGGGACATTCTCTAGTAGCTTGTTTGAAAAGTGAATAAAAATCCATACCAAACAAATATTCAATAGTTTCCTTAGGAAGATGGGTAAGTGTGACCCCACCTTCTAATCTTCCACACTGCTGCATCTGGGCCAACCTACTCTTATGGAGAACTTTCAAAACTAGCAGTAATTAAGTCCAGTGGTCCCCCAGATCCCTGCAGTGAACAGCTTCAGAGTGACACCTACACTCTGATACTAGTGGAGGTGCTCACAGCCGGGTGACCTTTCATGCTGCTTTCCTGAGCTCAAGGCACAGGCAGAGTGCCCACGTCCTGCTCCTCCACTTCGGGTGGGAAGCCATGGTTCTGACTTTGCTGCCTGCATTGCCGTGTTGGTCATGACATCACATGATACATGGCCTCTGGAATCCACTGAGAGTAGCAGCAGTGGCAACAGTGTATGTGCTCGTGTTTTCCAAAAGCATCCAATCACCCACATGCATTCTGGGCAGGTCATAGCCCTGGACACTCCAATCAAGGCCACCAGAGGTTGGTCCCCATATGCTGGATGAATAACACTTCTCATCTGGTTGAGGTCTCTTCTGCAAACCCGTCATTCACATAGTAACAAAGGACTGTTCATGTGGCTCATCTTCAAGGTCAGAGCCTGTCTGTGCTTTTAATACAAATTTTTTTCCTTTTTTTTTTTTTTTTTTTTGGTACCAGGGATTGAACCCAGGGGCACTCAACCATGGCCACATCTCCAGCCCTATTTTGTATTTTATTTAGAGACAGGGTCTCAATGCACTTTGCAGTTGCAGAGGCTGGGTTTGAACTTACGATTCTTTTGTTTTAGCTTCCGAAACCACTGGGATTACAGGTTTGTGCCAGTCTTTAATGCAGTTTTTTGGCAGTGAAATTAACTGCAAGCATGAGAGCCGAAGCAACAGGATATCTGCCTGGCTCAGCTACGATCCTCACCCCAGAGTCTGACAGAAAGTACTTGTCCAGGTGTAGGCATCACCCACTGGGGTTGAGTTACACTCACCTGTTCCTGTGTAATCCTACCCCTTCTGCCTTTTGGATAGAATGTTCTAAGAAACAGTGACACCCCCCCCAAAATAAAAGCCCACTTCCAAGCATGCTTGCTCTCTCAGCCTCTGGCAACCTTCTCTTGCCCACTTTGGCCAAGCTTCATGACCTTCTCTTGCCCCCTTTGGGGAGCCTGAGGCCAGGAGACAGGAAAGCTGTCCTGAAGCTCATATAAAAGGTATTTTGTGTCTGTGTGGTATTTTGTGTCACCCCAAATTCACAGGAGTGACTTTAGTTCAGCTGCCCGTCCTGGACAGGGGCG